ACAATCAACAAAATCCCGTAACAATCTGTAAAGGTGGTATATGAACTGGATGCCATCTCTAGGAAACATGTTGTGTATTTCGAAAAGGATTTAAACAATTGTGATTTCCCGTGGGTTATGAGTATGTACTAGTTGTAGTATTTTTACTGTGATACATGGGTTGAAGCACTCTTTTGCCAAAAAATCTCAACACTCACGATAGTTAAAAATCAACTTGATACTGTTTACTGCCTGTGCCTTTCAATGTATGTCTGTATAGGGGAGCAAGTTTCTTCGGAACAGTTATATGAAGTTTTGCTTTCACTTAATGACTTCACTATTCTTATCATCCCTGTGTCTTCTGAGAAAGTGGACAGAACAAATGCAATGTTAGAACTGAAATGAACTACCCCCGGGGACGCGTGACAAGGGTAAAGTGATACTGTTCCTCTAACCCTCTTCAGTGTGTCCAGTCTCAGACAGGGTGCTGGAACTTCTGTCACCCCTGCCCACAATGAACACAGCTCAGCGCCAAAAGAAACCGTCTAGGCCCGTGATTTCTTCATAAGGGAGAGTGAGAGCCTGTGAATGAGCGTTGCTGTCCAGCTCTGAGGGAGGCTGCCAAAGAGACCTGCCCCTTTCTGGCCGCATCCAGAACACTGAGGGGTGCTGCCCAGCTGGGAGTGGGGAGCACCTGGGAGAACAGCAGCCAGGGCGCCAGGAGGGCTTTAAAGGGACAAGGGTCCTACTACCAGGGCACAGACTCCATCAGGACCTGCCCGCCAGCCTCTGGGGACGCCTTGCCTGCCAATCACCAAAAGTGTCCCAAGGCCACGGCCAGCGCCCAGCAGCGCAGCCGTGCGCCACCCGCGCCCTGGCCCCTCCCAGTGCGCGAAGGGCAGCAGCAGGAGCGAGCCTTCGCAGACGGCCAGCGAGCATGCGCAGAAGCGGCCCCACTCTGCGGGCCTGGAGAAACCACCCAAGTTTGAGAAGTCAGCACTTCTTATGGAAAGCAAGCAAAAGAGAGGCTGCGGGCACCCAGACAGGTTTTGCAGGATCAAGAGAAGGCGATGTAGTCTGTAGTCAATTGTCAGAGACAGTAGGAAACAGGGACACCAATCGTGGTAAAGGTTTAAAGCGTGAAGGTGTCTGAGTCAGAGCTGATGATGACTGACTCTGCACACCGCACAGAGCTTTTCTTTCCTTTTTTTTTAACTTCCTTTGAAAAACTTCTCATCCAAGTACCACAAAGCAGTAAAACCTTTAGTAATTGCACCCTCACTCTCTTCTGACTTGGTTTAAGAAGAATAAACCAATAAAATATAAACCTCTCTCCATCTTCCCTCTCACGCCATTGTCAGTCTTACGGGAAATAAG